ATCATAGCTTTTCAGCAGGAGGAAAATAGACTGGTTTCCTCTTGGGAAGAAGGATGTGATATGATATTGGTTAGAAAAGTACCTGAAAAGAAAGAATCCTAACCATGGTTTAAGCTTCTATCACCTGAGCTCTGAGCGCTCTTCCCAGCTCAAGATCTGGCTTCAAGTCTGGTGAGAGGAGTCCAGTCACCTCTCCCAGCTGGCTGAAAATGAAGGTCTCTCAAGATAAAAGCTAAAGTTGCTACCCTGTCACCAATGAGAGTTCTAGGAGGGAATGAAGAGTCCCCAGGGCTGGCAGGATTCAGCTCGTCTAATGGGTGAGAGAGCCTTTTAACAACCTAGGAGCCGGCAAGGATCAGTCCCCAGCCACGTTTCAACCTGAAGGCAAAGCAATTCTGTCTCTTAAGCCTGTATCCCCAGGACATAGATGTAATGAACATTTTAAAGTTTCAATCCAATCAGATGCATTCTTACTTTCTGAGGTGGTGATGTATTAACAGGAGGGCAGTTGTCTAAAATGATTCTAGAAAAAAGGAAAGCTAAAAGTAAAATATGTCAGTATTTATCTGAGGTCCAGCACTGGTTATTCAGACAGAAATATCCCCAGAGAGGAGACGGACAGTTCAATCCGTTATTCTCATTTGCTGAAATATCCCTACAGACCACAATTCCATTAGCTCTCGTTCTATGCTCACTAAGCAACTCTGAATTAATTTGGTCTCTGGAATGAATACATTCACAGGGAAATTACGCCTTGTACAAACGGTGGTTACCAGTCATCATTCCGGAAATGTCTGGATGACCACATATGACGTCTTTGGAGTCGTCGCTTGTGGGTTGTCCCCAGTCTCTGGATGAACTGAGTCCAGATTCTTGACCAGCAACACTGAGGACTCTACCCTGGACCTGACTGATGGCGGCAGCTGAGGTACCTACTCTGGGGGGAGTCAATGGGGCACAACAGGAGGAGACCAGGAATTCTATTTAGATTTTTAAAAACCTCACCCTTTAAAATATTCACTTTAGTCATACTTGATAATGTACATAATATATGAGTACAGTGGACAGCATGGATAGAATTCATAAGTAAGCTTGTTGGGATGTGAGCTTAAAGGCTTTAATGAGCGGGCGGTGGAATAAGAAAGTTTGGGTGTTGCTGTTCCAGACCCTGATGAACTTCTGTGAGGCCTGTTCTGATGAGTCTGTTGCCCAATCTCCAGGATTTCTGGTTATAACAAAGTAACATGAGTGCTTTTTCTAGTGCTCATTGCACTTACTGATGCAAGGAGCTTAGCATCATTACTGTTTGTTTTTTCTTTTGCGGTACGCGGGCCTCTCACTGTTGTGGCCTCTCCCGTTGCGGAGCACAGGCTCCGGACGCGCAGGCTCAGTGGCCATGGCTCACGGGCCCAGCCGCTCCGCGGCATGTGGGATCTTCCCGGATCGGGGCACGAACCTGCGTCCCCTGCATCGGCAGGCGGACTCTCAACCAGTGCGCCACCAGGGAAGCCCTACTGTTTGTTTATATTGCTCCCAGCTGACCGTAAGCTCCTTGAAAGCTGGGAGAAAACCATTTCATCTCTGCAACATTTAGCTCCAGAACATATTAAGTACTCAATAAATAATTATTAAATCAATGGATAAATGAAACAGTTGGATAAGTTATATCCAATTCCACTCCATATGCAAAGTCTTCATGGGACAAAATCTACTTTATAGTAACCTGAGTATTAAAGATATTAAATAAATATAAATAAAAGCTAATGCTGCCTTAGCACCTACTATATAACTGGACAACAGCTCCTGCTAGCACCTCATAATTTTCTTTATCCACGACTTAATTCCTATTATTCCCTATAGACCTTTTTGAACGATGCCACACATTTGCAAGACTGATGGGCTTATAACCTTAAGGTTATTGAAATGGCTGCAATTTGTACTGGCTCTCAAGGTCAGCACTGAAAGGGTCAAGTGACATTGGACGAGCACAGTAAGTTGGGAACGAGAGCCGCTGGATGGCAAGCATGGTGCCACAGCAGGTGGCAGGATGGCCAGCGTGTACAGGCAGAGCGGGCAAGGATGGAAACTGAGAGGGAAAGTGTGAAGCAGAACAGAAGTAAACAGCTGAGATGGGAGGGGCCCGTCCACAGTAACAGAACGACAAGGCAGGTGGAAAAGGGTGAGGGACCCAGCCTAGGGCAGAGGCAATGGTCAGCGAAGGCTGAGCAAAACAGTTGCGGTGAGGTTGATGGTTCTACCAGCTTGAAAACCAGCTGGTCATGTGAGAAGCTTTTAAAGTACCTTCTGGGCAAGGCCCGGACTCATCTCGGGTGGGCAGAGGAATCAGGGAGGTACCTTCAGCTGGTGCAGGAGAGTAGGCCTGGGCAGCAAACCCGGCCTTGCTGACACCCACCATCACTTCAAACCTCTGTCATTCGTAGAAAATGCAGTATCGTGCATTCATCCAAATTCTTTAACCGGCAATTACTTTAATCTCACCAGTGATAATTTAGCATGGGATTCTGACTTCAAACTTTCTAAGGATTGTTTTTGATGGGGAGCAATTAATTTTAGGCCTAATTTTAATTTCTAACAACGTATTACATGTACATGGTTTTAAAAGTCAAGTGGTGCTAGAAGGGATATAGAAAAATGCTGTTCCCTGCTCCACCCTCCCCCTAGCAAACCCAATTTCTTAGTGACATTTCTTGTTGTATCCCTGTATTTCTAAAATCTACCTGCGTAGATATTTATTAATATATGCATTTTAAATAGTCTCTACTTTCCTGGATGCCGGGAAATAGACTTTCCTGGGTGCCAGATGAGAACCGAGCATTTTTACAAGCCCACCTTCCTATTTCCTTTCTCCATATTCTCCCCAAATAGCAAAATCACAGATTTGGGGGTATGCTGAAATTCAATATTTATATTTTTAGGACTATTTAAGTATTATTCACTAATGAGCCAAGTAGTGAAATCTAATTATATTTTCTTTTTGTGTATAAGGTTTTGTTTCTCTAGAATCGAGTTACCTATTTTTTTTCATTTACCTAGTTTTCCTTCTATCTGTCATGAATTCTTTACAAATTCTCCAACACACCTGAAAATCTCTTCTCAAAAATGTCTGACATTTGATACGTCAGGCAATCCAGCAGTCACATTTCTGTGACATCCTGTGACAGGATGGGGCATCCTGTGACAGCCCTTCATTCTTCTGCCGCCGTCCACGCTGGCTCTTCTCATGGCCTGGGACCGCCTTCTCGCCCTTATTG